TATCCTAGCAGTAGTAGCTATACTGCATCCTATTATTCCCCGCCACAACCGTATTCATGCACGTACGTGCACTCGGACCCCATGACCGAACCTTCACCTTTCGATTATGACACGTACCCATCATCGCAGCCGTCGGATTCTTTCGAGATATTTAGTGACGAAAATCCAAATGCATGCTCAACCATGTGATGAACCGGCTTATACTACTCGTATAAGTTGAAGAGGAAGAGAAGAGGGTAATTTTGTATTGAATGTAGATAAGGAAGGAAAATCTTGTAGGTGTTAGGCTAAAAATGGAAGTAAAAAAAATAGAGGGCAAAATAAGAGGGAAAATTGTGTATTTGGGGTATGGGTCCATTTTTCTCTGTAGTGGTGTTTGTGCTTAGCTTTTGCCCTTTATTTTAGTCTTTTTACTCTTTTAAGGATGGGTTAAAAGTTATAAATTATATGCTAGCCTTGTAATTCCTAGATGTTGGTAGGTCCTCATTGTGTTCCCTACTCTCTTCTTTATCTTACGTGGAAGGGCAGAGATTTGGCAATTTTGGCTGCACATTCTATGGTGGTTGATGGCATATTTGCATAAAGGGCATGGGTTTTTGTGGCATGGACGCTTTTAGTTTGGATGGACCTTAATCCGTAAAATCCCAATTTGTTTCTAGTTAATTGGAAAGTGCTCAAGAACCTAACGCAACTTGACAAGCGTCATGATGATTTGGCAATTTTGGCTTATTAGATGGTGACTAATGAGTAAAGACATCTTCGCATTTTATGGCTTTGGGGGTTTTGGCCTTGTGGGGCCCGGGCATGAAAATTCAAAACTTTTGCATGGATCCCTTCCCTAGAATTATTAGTTGCTTTAGTCAAAGCACAAGATGCCCAATACGCTTTGACAAATTTCATGGTGAATTTATGATTGTGCAATTCCTCCTCTTCTCTTTCGTTTTGTAACATGGAATTTCTTGAGGTGTTAAGGGTTGGAGTTTGTGGTATAATAAATCATGTGTTTAAAATCAAGCAAAAAAAATTTTCCTTCAGTAATTTTTTTTGTTTGTTTGATAAGAGTTTTTGAGATTAGTTTGTATATATTTTAAAATTAATCTTTTTTATACACTTTTTTAAAGATATGCATTTCATATTAGCTTAATATATTTAATAAAATTAAATATTTCTAAAAATGATCCCAAAATTTAAATTATAAACATGACTTACAAGATAACAATAACAATAATAATAATAATAAAATCCACTCTTAAGTTCCTACTAGGCTACTACTTACCATTTTGTAATTGCTCTATTAGAAGAGAGAGAGAGAGAGAGAAATTGTTTGGCTGTTTGTCACTAAATTGGAGGACCTTAAAATCTCATCAATCTCCTCTCTTTCCAATGTGTAAAGCTAAGGGGAGAGTTTACTAATTTAGGAGCATGAGATTGTGGTTTTTAATTCAACTTTTGAAAATTAAACGAGTGAGAGAGAGAACCCCATTTCTTTTAGTTTTTATTCACTTTACTACAAAATTAAAGTACAAGACCTCATTTTTTTTGGGATTTTTTAGGCTCCTTTACTAAACTGCTGATTGCAGTCAAAGGCATTAACCTTGTAGTATATTTGTGCAAGTTTTCTTTAGGGAAAGTCATCTTCTCTTTCCTTCCTCCATTCAAACTATACCACTACCTTAAAAGTGTGTGATAAAATGTTTTCTTTTTAACAGTGGTTTATTGCCTTTTGCTTTTACTGCCTTTTAAAAAAAAAAATTATTTGGCCCTTTTTTTTTTTTTTTTTGAACAAAGGGAATTTTTAGAAAAATGAGAGAAATTAATATTACAATTAAGAGACTTAAATGTTGACATGAGTTGAGGTTTTGTTTATCCATTACCAGTCCACCTGGAGTTGCTGGTGCATTTGGCCCTTCTTTAAAATCTGAAAAGTTTGCTTGCTCCCTTCTAAATACTTCGTAATTGATTCATCTCTTTAATTTAACAATCTTGTGGTTTGCCTTCCAAAAAAATGAATTGATGTGTTCTTAAATCAACAAAATCAAAATCACAACCTGCGAAAATGTCATGCAACTAAACACAAAGTGATTTACAAGTACTCATGAAACTCATTAGGTAAAAGTTTGGATGTCTATATTACTAAAAACCAACTTTTTTATTTTTTCTTGTTGACGTGAATCAACTGTTTTTGACTAGGATTAGACCATTATTTATTTTAATAAAAAATTTTCACAAACACAAGTGGCAAGAGGTAGCTTTGTATAAAAATAAATATAAAAAATAAAAAAAAAACGGCTAGAGTTAGCTAAGATTTGACGGGTTCCATAAACAACACGGATTATCTTTTTATAAGTATTATTCTGTGTCCATATCTTGAAGGGAATATA